ACTTCTTATCGTCAGACACTTCCAGATGAACACAAGCCAGTTTGAATATTTTGAAAGAGATACATTTAGGTCATCAGAAATTAAGCGTTCAGGCCGTAGGGAATGGGAGGGGGATACGTACATTGGTGGAGGAAACTGGCATCTCTGTGCAGACACAAATTATTTTTATCATATTCCTTTTATCTGCCTTTCATTAGCAGTAATGGACCCCAGAAATGCATCAAAGACGGTCAATGTGCCCATTCCACTGATTATAGGTTGACTGTCTTATCTGTGCTGGAGTGGAAAGCCAGAGCAGCAGTGTTCAAAGCATGTCTTCTCCGATATCACTGCCGTTAACACTGCCATCACAGGAAGTGATCTCACAGTCTTCAAACTGAAGCATCTGGGGCTGTTAGAGGGATATTTCTTCACGGCTTAGTAAAATTCAGAATTCAATTCAATTTTTCAGTTAATATTTTGTTGCATGGAATTGTTATTTAACAACAGTTACCCTTGCACACCTCGATAGGTGCGTAGGAAAAATGAACAAAAAACAGGTCCAATTTCAAAACAAAAAAGAATTGATCGCGCACACTATCTGCACTTGCAAATGTATCAAAATATAAATTGATTCACTCACAACGTTTCAGTCCATGACATGAAGGCCTGATAAAGGTCATGGATTGAAACGTTGTGAGTGAATAAATGTATTCGTTTTTGTTTTGATGGAAGTTTTTAATTTTAATTTTAATTGATTATGCCCTACACAATGTTATATTGGAATTTGAATTGGAATGACAGGAAAAGGAATTTACTTTCCAATTAATAGACATTCAAAAAAATCCATACAATTTTAATTAAAAAAAAAAATGTAACGAAAAAAGAAATGATATATTTACTATGATTATATATTGATTATATTAAAATAACAAATATTAACTATAAAATTTAATAATGTACAGCTTTATAATTTCATATGTAAAGGCATATTTTTATATTATATATTTTTATGTTTTGTGATTTAATAATTTATTGCGGTTTATTTCAATTTCAATTCTGCATCTTGTTTGCTATCTTTATTCAAATTCAATTGAAATTATGATATTGTAAATTAAAAGTCTAAATATCACAGAAGTCTGCTCTGCACCTGCTGGCTGTGGCTTTTACCATTCCTAGCACTACAGGGAAATGTCAAAGACTGGCTCTGTCCAAATTCCCTGAAAGCATTTCACATGTGGCATGGGCTAGTCAGGACATCTTGTTAGATTTGCAGAATGTTAAGTCCATTTTCACTTTCAGTGTTGCAGCTGGTACCTGATAACTATTACGGCTCTGTTGCTTTCTCACATTTACTCTGTTCTCTGCCGCACTCCCTTTGGAGAGATCTTCACTCTTATTCTGTTAGTTCTCCCTTCTGCCTGCATGCATCATTAAGTCCTTCAGTCCACCAACTCTTGTCTCTTTCTCTCTCTCTCTCTGTCTCTCAGGGGGTTAAGACTCCCCAGGTGTTGGGTTAGAGGAAGGAGGGCGAGATGAGTGTGAAGAGCCTAAGGGTATTGACTTTCCTGGGAAAACACAGCTCTCTAAAATCAGTAGCCAAATACTGCAATAACTCAACAGCCATTGATCCTCTTTCCCCTACGGCCACATTGATCTATACATTACAAGCTCTGAGACTGGCGGCATGGATCCAGCCTACGCTAACACAACCCTCCCAATCGCCTGTAACTTACTGCCTCTGTCATTATAATCATAATAATAATACATGTGACCAGAAGTAATGTATTCAGTATGATACAGCCGAACGACAGCAAACCGTGCTTCTAGTTTGCAAGCATTCAAGCTGCATTTGGGGCATCAAAAGTCAGCATTTGACTTGGCCTTTTGGGTATAGTGCTTTGTTTGATTGCGTCAGTCAAGAAGATCCAGCAGAAATAAAACTTGTATCTGAAACATCCTCTCCACTCTGCGGGGCTGCCGAGCACGTAGAACAGGACCCGGCATGATGTCATCATTTCGTTCAGTTGTTTCACAGCTTGGACGCCGATGTGTTCGAGAGTCTCGCACTAGGAGGTGGTCTGTCAGCAGTATCCTGTCTGTGGTGTATATTGGTGAGATACTTTCACAGTAGCTCCAGTACAGCCTTTTAGAGGAATCCATTTGCTTATATAATGTCAAATTTCAAAGGTTAGAGAAGCAGACATCACAACTTTTCTCTATCCTGTAAGCCAAGAGTTTGTCAAGAGTATTTACAAATTTATGTTTTTGTATTTGCATAAATCTTAGGGGTGTGCTGAAACAATCACATAATAATACATATATATATATATATATATACAGTATGTGTGTGGGTGACAATATTTGTTGGCTAGGCACCAAAATAAAAATGCTTGGCCAAAACAGCAAATTTATTATTTTAAATTATAATTCTTAATAATAATCTTTAAAAAATGTATTGAAATATTTAAAAATAATAATAATAATTTTAAATACTGGATTTTTTTCTATAACTCTATATATGTTTTTCTGAATTTTAAAGTATACAGTTTCAGATCAAATTTTCCACTTCTGTTTGTCCACTTATTTTCTTTTGGTCAAAAACTAAAAATGGTATTTCATGGAATTTTTGATGGCCAAAAGTTTTCTTCATCTGTCTATGAGGCTCTATAAGGCCCAAGAGATATTAAAACTATATTGATGTATCGAATAATGATTTATGTATTCCAATCATATCATGAGGTAGCTGGCAATTCCCAGCCCTATAATAACTACACAGCACCAACTCTGATATATGGAAATGTGTGCAGTGACTTGAATGTAGCGAACATTCCCAGTGTGGAAAGACTGAAGTGGAAGTGACATTAACACACTGAGCTCCTTCCGTTACTCCTTCTCTCTCTCTCTTTCCCTCTCCTCGAAGACCGAGCAGTGACGCAACCATGCTGATTACCACTTGCATCCGTTTGCCTTACCGGCTAGATATGTTAATCATCTGCTGGATAATTGCCTCTGTAGTGCCTTGATTAAGTTGAGTGGCACGTCAAGGAAGTGTGCCTCAA